CAGTTTGTAGTGATAAGTTGAAAAGATTAGCCAAAGGTTTGCTAAGCTCCTCTTTACATTCCTTTAGAACCCTTGCATACAGTTCATCAGGGCCTGGGGATTTGTTAGGTTTTAATTTATCTATTTGCCTAAGGACCATGTCACTTGTGACCCTAATCGTGCACAGTTTATTATCGTCCTGTTCTACATAATTTATCATTTCTGGAATATCGCTGGTATCCTCCTGTGTAAAAACTGAGAGGAAGTATGTGTTAAAAATTCTACACATTTCCTTATCACTGCCAGTGAGCCGACCCGAGGAACTTTTGAGTGGGCCTATCTTGTCCCTGATCTTACTTCTGTATACCTGAAAGAATCCTTTTGGGTTAGTCTTCGATTCTCTTGCAACTTTAACCTCATAATCTCTTTTTGCTTTTCTAATTCCCTTTTTTATTTCTCTTTAACTGAATATATCGATTTCTTAATTGCCCCTCTCCTCTTTGGATTTGCCTACATATGTCTCTCTTTTGACCAATCAGATATTTTAATCTATTGTTCATCCATTTAGGATAATTTTTGTTTGATCTGATTTCCCTATTTGGAACATGATTTGACTGAGCAGCTAGAACTATGCCCTGGAAAGCGTCATATCGGCAACCATCACCACCTACCTGACCCTTAGTCAGGTCATTCCAGTTCAGCCCACCCAAGTAATTTTTCAGTCCTATGAAATCAGCCAAGCGAAAGTCAGGGACAAAGACTTGATTGCCATTATTAGGGGAATTCCATGATATATTAAAACTGAGTGATTTGTGATCACTTTCCCCAAGCTCATCATTAGCCTCAAGATTATTAATTAGTGTTTCCCTACTGGCAAGAACCAAGTCAAGGAGGTTATTGCCCCTAGTTGGCTCTGTCACAAACTGTTTTAAAAAACAATCCTGGATCGTATCAAGAAAGTCACCTGACTCTAAATTTCCTGTCAAATTGCTCCAGTCAATCTGTCTATAGTTGAAATCTCCCATTAGCACAACATTTTCGTATGTAGATGCCTTACGAATTTCGTCCCATAGAAGTTTACTGCACTCTCTATCAAGATTTGGGGCCCTGTAAATCACACCCAAAATTACTTTTTCTCGGCCCTCGAGAAGCTGTAACCAATCAGATTCAGTGGCTGACGCTTCTAATTTTATATCTTGTCTAACACAACAATTTAAATTGTCTCTGACATACATCGCTACTCCACCACCCTTCTTGTTGACCCTGTCAGTGTGGAATAATTTATAGCCTTGTATGTGACATTCAGAGGGCATCTCTCTATCTTTCAGATTGAGCCAGGTCTCTGTTATAGCAATAATATCTGTTTCCTGCACTTGCAATTAATCTTAGCTCATCTATCTTATTTCTTACATTCCTGCTACTAGTATAGTAAACCTTAAGGGAGCTAGTCCCTTGCTGCCCTCTGCTGTCCCCCTTTGTTTGCTGACCTGATCTATTGTCTTTATTTATAGCTCCATGCTGAATGCCTTTTATACATTTACTGTTTCCAACCCTAGTGTTGCAACCTGCTTGTTTCCCACACACACCCATATCTCTATCTTCTATCAGTTTAAAATCATAGGCATTTCACCAATGGCCTTCTCAATTGAGTTTGCAAGTGCTACCACCCCAGCCCCAGAGAGATGTACCCCATCCCTTGCATACATATCATGTTTGCCATAAAAGTTGTTCCAGTTGTCAATGAATGGGATTGCAAGTTCCTTCCAGTATCTGTCTAGCCAGCAATTTACACCAATTGCCCTAGACAACCATTCATTTCCTACTCCCCTTCTAGGCAAGATGCTACATATGATTGGGACCCCTCCCTTAGACTTAATGAAATCTATAGCTGACCTGTACTTATCTAGCAGCTCTTCTCTCCTACTCTTCCCAATATCATTTCCACCAGCACTGAGACAGATAATGGGCTTGTTCCCATTACCTGACATGATATTATCCAGCCTGTTAACTATGTCCCCAACACCAGCTCCAGGGAAGCACACACTATCTCTCATCTTATTCCTATTACAAAAAGCACGGTCAATATATCTTACCTGAGAGTCACCAACCACAAGAATGCGCTTACCTCTGTTAGCTGGGGCAGTAGTACCCTTACCTTCACTGGCCACTGAAGTACATTCATCCTGAAGAACAGAGAAGCGATTTCCTACCTTCAGATATTCACTCTTAACTTTCCTTATTCTGATTCTCCTCCCATTACTGGGAACCACTCGCCACTTGTAGCAGGTGCTGGACTGCACCTCACTGCTGGTAGCCGTTGCTACCTCCCCACCTACAGCCTCCTCACAGCGAGAGACAGACTGCACCTCGCTGCTAGAAGCCTCATTCCCCACAACTCCAGCCACCTCACACTTTCTCCCAGACCCATTGAGGTGGACCTTCAGCCTCCTAATCTCCTCCTGGAGAAGCAAGACCTCCTCCTTCAACTCTCCAACCTCAATTTTTAAAACACTGCAGAAGCAAGCCATGCTTTGTATCCGTCCACGCTAATCCCCAAAGCAGCTCAGGGTCTGTGACCTCACGTGACGACCTGGTTGACCAGACGCCTTACATGATCAGATATACAAGAACAGCGGAACACTGCGTGAGGCTTACTGGCCCGTATTAAGCAGTTATTATATAAATGACTTGAAAAACCGACAAGTTGATGAATGATACTCGTGCAACACTTGGGTAACTTTATGCTGCCTCTGTTTCTGTATGATGTCTGACATAGCAACATCTTGGAATCTTGATACTTGGAATTCTTCAGCACTTGCTTAAACCATAAGCATGACCTACATCCACTAGTGGATTTTGTCCACCTGTGACGCTGTCTTCTGCTTCACTTCACCTGCCTGCGGTACATAAACGCTTGCTCTTCTCTGCGCACATGCTATACTTTTATTAAGTTGGATGTACTGAAAACAATGTCTCCAGACTGAGGGACTGATTACCTCAAACTCCTCATCTTCCACCGTTCTTCTCTGTATTGGACTGATAAGCCACTGGCTGGCGAAACGTTTCCACGATAAAAATAAGCAGGTGACAGGTCCTTAGCTTCGAACTATAGACCAATAAGCCTAACCTCCATAGTGGGAAAAATTATGGAATCAATAATTGCCGAGGCAGTTCGTAGCCACCTTGAAAAGCATAAATTAATCAACGAATCTCAGCATAATTTTACAAAGGAGCGTTCCTGCCTTACGAATTTATTAACTTTTTTCACTAAGGTATTTGAGGAAGTTGATCATGGTAATGAATATGATATTGTGCATATGGACTTCAGTAAGGCTTTTGACAAGGTCCCACATCAGAGACTATTGAGGAAAATTAAGGCACATGGAATAGGAGAAATTTTTTCCTGGATAGAGGCATGGCTGACAAATAGGCAGCAGAGAGTTTGCATAAATGGGGAGAAATCAGAGTGGGGAAGCGTCACGAGCGGTGTTCCACAGGGGTCAGTGTTGGGCCCCCTGCTGTTCACAATATACATAAACGACATAGATGAGGGCATAAAGAGCGACATCAGCAAGTTTGCCGATGACACCAAAATAGGCCGTCGAATTCATTCTGACGAGGACATGCCTCGCATGGGCCAGTAGGCCTGCTGCAGTGTTCCTTCGTTCTTATGTTCTTAAACAAGGACGAATCGAATGTAAGCAAAGGTACACTATTCCCACATCAATCACTGGTGGAGTAAGGTTAAGTTACGCTCGATTGTTTTAGGTTATGTAACGAGTTTTATTTCTACAAAATAAACAGTATAACCCGCCTAATACTGAACAATTTGAGTAATAAATTATCAAGCAACTCAGACCAGGACCTGAAGCAATGCTAACCCAAACTGTGCACACAGCATTTAATTACAAATGTACACTTGTGTACACACATTATACACGTGTGTACACCATACACTTGCATATAAACACCATACACTCGTGTACAAACACCATATACTCTTATATAAACGCTATACTTTTATACAAACACTATATACTCGTTATATAATCTTATGGGGGATGAACTAGATAACTACCACACGTCACAAGGTAATGCACACACTATATATTTGTATATATACACCAAACACTCGTGGACAAACACTACACTCAAAATTTTGTGGGAATGGAGCTAGGTAATTCCACGTACCACGTCACACGGTAACTACAACTACCACACGTCATAAAGTATCTGCCATCATCCACACGTCACAAGGTAACTAGCACAGCATCCAACTAGTGTACATAAAACAAACACAAGATAAGCGCACACACCTGTAAGGGCGGGTAGAGGGCTAGAGGCAGGTCACACGCCACACCTGTTAAGGAAGTTGTGCAGTTTGCCGCAAACTTGTTCTTCCAGCCCCCGATATTATACCCACACCCTGAACTCCAGTTTTCCTCCATGGCCCATTTCACCCCTCCACGCCATTTCTTCCCATATACGTTATAAGGTGAAGCAGATATACAGCCGAAGAAGACAGGGATATAAGGTGTGGAGAGACAGTATTAACAGAGGTTGTGGTGAAGAGGATGGAGCTGGCCACTACAGGTAAGTTTGACCCCGCTTCACAAGCCTCTACTTACCTGCCTCAGCAGAGTATTTTCCGAACTCGTATGACACTGTTAGAATGGTTAAGTTCATGTACTTACCGGAATGTCGAAGGAGAGGTCAGTGTCATCGAGGAGGATGACCTTGCATGGAAGAATATGCTTGGGTTTAGGTGCGCCTGAGGAGCGACCGTCGTCTACAGTCTTATATTTCTGGGCGTTGCGCCCCACTCTCTTGCTGAAAAACCGCAGCATGTCGGCTACTATCTATACGCACTGCTACACATTATATACCTCAAACACACGTGAGCAAAAGGCATCAGATGGACGGACGCAATAATTTCACAAAAAACTTGGGCACAAATTAACTCACTAGCGATCACCACGACATTGTCGCTGATACTGATGTTGGTGGAGCACTGCTTCCCTACCTTCCCCCTCTTGACTATATTTACTCTTTGTACTTTCTTCACTAATCCAGAGTATTATATATGATGAAAATGTGTTTTAATTCAATGAAAGGTTATCTGTCACTATGTGATGTCGCAGTAAGGTTTTAAAGTATGTTGGGGCAAGTTTAATGTGTTGGTGTTCATCTTGGAAAAAAAAGTGGGTCAACAGGCTAGCCAACCCTCGCTCAGGTAGAATAATTAACACACTTAAAATATCTTTATACTAAAATTAAATACACACACATTCATATATAAGTATACTGAAAATACTACTGTCCTTGTTTTAAGTTTACTGGCTTTATACATAGTTTGATTCACTGTTAAAATCCTGAACATTTAAGCACTACAGCAACAAGTGCAAATTGTGTATATTAAGTTGTATGTTTGATATTTGCAGATCAGCTATTCGTTAAATGTAGAAGTGATAATGAAGTAAAATTTACTGCAAATATAAAGATTAATGTTTATCATCCTAATAGATAATGGAGACTGCTATGTGTAACAATAATTAGGCTCGTAAATTTAACATCTCGTGGTGTTCTGTTTGTAAACATTTCTCTCTAAAGGTCGAAAATTATATAATTCATTGTCATTAGAGATCATCCCATGCCCTAGCCTAGCAGGTAGCTCCTCCAGCAAGACGTGCAAGTACAAGATGGAGGCTGGCATAATAAAGAAACTTGACGAGACTGTTGTAAACCGCATCGCTGCTGGTGAGGTGGTCCAGAGACCTGCCAATGCCTTGAAGGAAATGATTGAAAACTGGTGTGTACATATACCTCAAGCTTTTGCAACCTACTAGGCAATATTAAGGAAGAATTATGGGAGGAACGTACCAAGCCTAAGTTTCATACAAGCCTCGTGTGTTTTAATTTCACGAATATTTTTGTATCATGATGGATTTAAACCTTTTCGAGACGTTGTAGGTCTATTCTAGTTTAAATCATTATAAAATATTGCTTTTGCCTAGCATGAGCCTACTGGCTCATGCTAGGCAGGTCAAGCTACTAAAGTAATTTTTAACCTAATTTTAAAGCTTGTCAATGTTTTAGCTTCAGTGAGGCTACTCAGGAGTTTGTTCCACTCATCCATAACTCTATTACCAAACCAGTGCTTTCCTATATCCTTTCTAAATCAAAAATTTTCAAACATGAACCCATTGCTGTGAATCCTGTCATGGTTAGATGTGTTAGTGTTTGTAGAATTACCGACTATGTTAGGTAAAAGGACAAGTGCAACTAATGTAACATTTTATTGTGGCAACGTTTCGCTCTCCAGGAGCTATCAAGCCATTATAAACAATACAGACACAGAAGGGTATATATAGGCTTAAAGTGAGGTGTAATACTAGTGGTAGTAGTTGTAGTAGTAATACAATGGTAGAACAGTCAACTTGCACATGAGTAAAAGGTTATAAAAGCAATTACTTGGGTAGCATAAAAATAGGTTAGACATATTTCTGTCAGTGGTTGGATTTGAGAAGGCCTGTTTCAGTGTTCCTCCTCTGTTACGTTCTTGTATACTATTAGCATCGGTGACTGATGGCAGGGTTTATTGTTTTGAGCAGGATTTTTGCTAATACTTCAGACATGATGAAGCTGCCTTTATTTTGCTTGATTGTGTTAGAAGCAGTGATTAATGATGATTCAAGGCATTTACGTCTGCAGAAATTAGGTTCTCCAATCACTAGTCGGGCATCGTTGAATTTCATGAGGTAATTGGTGGAATTCCATTGTTGTATGCAGGCGTTATTAAAGTTATCATTCCTTCATGCATTGATGTGTTCATTGAGACTTGTTTCAAGGTTACTTGCTGTTTCACCTATACATATATTCTGTCGCGGTCTCCACAAGGTATAGTGTAAACTCCTGCATTGACTGGTTTGTGGTGGTTCGATTTTGTCCTGGTTAGATCCCTTATTGAAGTGCTGGATGCAGTGGCAACTCTAGTGTTAGTTTGTGTGAGTACCTTAGAAACAAGAAACTAAATAGTTCAGACGTAACTTCTTCACTAAAGTACCTACCACACAAGCCATTGACATTCTAAGACTTAGTAAGTAAGTTTATTCAGGTATACACAAATACAGTTACATAGAATTATCATACATAGCAGCATTATGTGTAGAGAACCTAGGATAACCCAAAAAAGTCAGACAGAGTGACTTATTTCTATTGGGGTCCTTTATGAAAGCCGGTTGGCTTTTGTAAAAATAAAGAACAGAACTGTTAAGAATTATTAAGAACTATTAAGACTTAGTCAATCAGGACCTTAATCTTCCTCTACCTCCCGGAGATTTTGTCGACCTGATTGAACTCTGCATTAATTTAAATTGCTTGTCTTTCAATAACAGGCTCTACAAAGAAATCTGTGGTATGGGAAAGCTCTCAGTAGTAGTAACCAGTTACCAGTAACCACTGTACCGTTGACTCGTTACCAACCGTCTCTGCCTGAGTCACTGTCTATTCATATTGTGCTGACCTAGCACTATTCAAAGACCCCCTCACATATGGGTACTGTGGGCGGCCAGGCAGTCAGTGTTACGAGAGGAGCAAGGAGACAAGGTAACGGCTGTAAGGGCTCTCTCCACATTATCTGTAATTATACGTACTACCAGCCTACGTGAGTATTTCTTTACCTAATCCACGTTTTCGAACTCCCACATGATAAACTTGTGTATATGGAGCACCTGGAAGCTGAACTTTTTTCAACATCATCCCCACGAGTATCACTTGGTTACGTTATGTGGACAACATCCTCATAATAACTCCTAAACGTTTTGATGTGCAGAATCTTCAGGCAAGGCTCAACGCAACTGAACCGGCTATCCAGTTTGCACTAGAAGAAAAGTTCATTGACAAGCTACCTTTTCTAGACCACCTCATTCACAAAGTAGATAAGTCTAAGATTCCAAGTTTACCATAAACTTGCAAACAAAAATAATCTCACCCACTTCCATTCCAGTCAAGATACTAACACCAAAAGAGGCATCATAATTGATTTTTCCCTAAGAGCATACTGAATTTGTAGTCCTGAGTTTCTTGATGAGGAATGTACTTACATACACCAAACCTTCACTGATTTCTTTTCCTTCCTTTTTCATCAAAGACTGCAATTCTCCATGCACCAACGCTACTCCTAACAAAGTTATAATCCTTCCCAATAAGCAGGTTGCATTGCGAGTTTCTAAGGTACTCGCACAAACTAAAACTAGTCACTATCGCATCCAGCACTTCCATAAGGGATCTAACCAGGACAAAATCAAACCACCATGAACCAATCAATGCGGGAGTTTACACTATACCTTGTGGAAGCTGTGACAGAATATATGTAGGTGCAGCAGCAGGACCCTCGAAATATGTCTTGATGAACACACTAACGCGTGTAGGAACAATAACTTGAACAACCCCTGCATACAACGTTGGAATTCCACCAATCACCTCATGAAATTCAGCGACGTTTGACTAGTCAGAGAACCTAATTTCCACAGACATAAATGCCTTGAATCATCATTAATTGCTGTTTCTAACACACTTGAGCAAATAAAGGCAGGTTCATCATCTCCGAAATACAGTGGACCCTCAACCAACAGCATTAATCCGTTCCAGAGGGCTTGCTGTTGGTCGAAATTGCTGTTGGTCGAGTTAAGAAATAATGGAAATGGAATTAATCTGTTCCTGGCACCCCAAAGTCTGAATTTTTTTTTTTTACGTGAAATATACATTTCCTTATATGGAAAGGAATGGGACATGCAAAGTAAATAATAATTAAATGCCGCTTACCTTTATTGTGGAGTTGTTGATGAGTGATGTGCCAGCAGCAGGGAAAATTCAGAATTGTCTATTGCTTGGCAGGAGAATCCCCTTCCAGAAGGACTTCAGGTACCAAGTCCTTTGGTGGGGTTACCTCCCTCCTTGGTTTTTTAATGCCACTAGGACCAGCTTGAGAGTCACTGGACCCCTGTCGCACAAAATAGCTGTCCAGAGAGCTCTGTTTCTCACATGCCCTTAGGATTTCCCTAAAATGGGACACAAGAATGTCATTGTACATGTACATTTCCATTGTAATTCTCACCCTTTTTAACACAGGCTTGGCACTAGAAGCTTTCTTGGGACCCATGGTGGCTTATTTAGCAGTTACAAGCACTAGAAATAGCGGAATAATCCAAAATATATGGGAGGCACATGTGGCAACTGACCACAAACAATGGCACACTGAATCTTGGAGTGGCTGGGCCTGCTCAGGCCATGCTCTGGGCACATTGACACGTTCCGGACAAACGTCGTTGGTTAAGGCATTTTTTCTATGGCAAAAAGCGCCGTTAGACGAAATTGCCGTTAGTTGAGGGTCGACTTCATTAGCAAAAATCCACCTCAGAATAATAAACCCTGCCATCAGCCACCGATGCTAATACTACACAAGAACATAACAGAGGAGGAATACTGAAACAGGCCTTCTCAAATCCAGCCACTAACAGAAATATTTGTCTAACCTATTTTTATGTTACCCAAGTACATAATTGCTTTTATAGCCTTTTACTCCTGTGCAAGTTGATTGTTCTGCCACATTGTACTACTACTTCTACAACTAATATTACTATTACTACTACTACCACCACCACTAGTATTACACCTCACTCTAAACCTATATACAGTGGACCCCCGCATAACGATTACCTCCGAATGTGACCAATTATGTAAGTGTATTTATGTAAGTGCGTTTGTACGTGTATGTTTGGGGGTCTGAAATGGACTAATCTACTTCACAATATTTCTTATGGGCACAAATTCGGTCAGTACTGGCACCTGAACATACTTCTGGAGTGAAAAAATATCGTTAACCGGGGGTCCACTGTATACCCTCTTGTGTCCATGTATCGTTTGTAATGGCTTGATAAAGCTCCTGGAGAGCAAAACGTTGCCACAATAAAATGTCACATTAGTTGCACTTGTCTTTTTACCTAACATATTGATTAGATGTTTTTAACACTTCAGGTATTCCTGTTTTCCATTTATACACCTCAGTCATATCCCCTCTAATTCTGCACCTTTCTAGAATGCAGATTCAGTGCCATCTATCCTTGTAGAAAGATTTCTGATATGTACATGGGATCAACTTTGCCATCCTTCTTTGTATGTATTCCAGTGCATTTGTGTCCATTCTGCAGCATAATCTAGATAAGACCTAACTAACAATATAGTTGAATAATCTGAAGATTCCTGTTATTTATACTTCTTGATGTGAAGCCAAAAATTCTATTCACTTTATTGTGAACACTTGTGCATGGTTATCTTGGTTTTAGATTACTACTAACTAGAACTCTTAAATTTTTTTTCACATTCAGAGTAAGATCTACATTATATAGTTTATAGGCTTCATGGTTTTCTTTTCCAAGGCTTAGAACTTTGCATTTGTCTATATTAAACTACATCTTCCACTTTTCCGACTACTGCAGATGGTGACAAGTTGATGGTGTGTTATTAAAACTAAGAACTGATACATTCTGTATTGGTAGTATAAGATTAGGTTTAGGTTTTGCTCATTAGAACATAATCCAAAAGTTTGTCAGATTACCCTATCTCTACTGAGGTCATGTAGCCTAACTGTGTATGTTATTATAATATTCTATTGCCACATGATATAGCTTCTTACAAAATTCTATGACATTTAATAATACATGTGTAAAACCCTTGGATATGCAGAGCATTTGAACAAGCTAAAACTTAATGTAAAATTAATAGGAAGTGACAGAACATAAAAATTTACAT